AACGGAGTTAACCTTAACTCCTAGAGTTTAAACAAACTCCCCCTATCAATATGTCATATTGATAGAAACTCTTGGATTCAAAAATCCAAGCAACATGTCATCATAAACTTATGCATAACATGTGATGTCATCATCATACTTCTCCCCCTTTGTCATCAACAAAAAGGAGAGGTACCACAATCAAGTGTTTGTGATGTAAGTTTTAACTCATTGTATGAAAAACATAATATCTATTGTTACCGAGCGGTACACCTGGGTGTACCGATTACTGTAGCATTGCTACAGTGCTACAGTAACTGCTACAGTACTCGGACCGGTAACAGTCGGTCCGCGTACCGAAAATCTGTCGGACCGGTACGTACCGCCCGTACCGGGCGGTACGGCAAACCCTGCTTAATACAACGTCTTGGGATTCCCGAGACGTGACATGCCGAGTAACACCTTAGTACGGATTCTGATATGGTGTGTCTTAAGCCCAAAATATACTGTATCAATCAGTATAGTCAGTTCATAAGAAACAATGCTAGTTTATATTTCTCCCCCTTTTTTTCATTACCTTTGAGATAAAGTATAAAAAAGTTGTTTATCGTATGATCATACTCATTTTCATCGTTTATCTTTGAAAGCAACATAGAAAATTTTAAGCTAGACAATATTCAGAAAACCAGCATTGTTCCTTTTGAGTCCAATTCAAGTCTTCCGATTATTAAAATCTGGACAGAGATTTCATCAACGAACAATGCTGAATTTTCTTTCTTCCTTTTTTTTTATTATCTTAAAATTTTATTTATTGTAAAATCATGGATTCGAATCTCATATTCATCATTTATATTTTAAGAAAATATAAAAAAATTGAACTGAAGAATGTTCAGAAAAGAGTAGCGATGGCTAATTCACTGAAACCTGAGATGAGAAAGAGACGACTACTTCATAATCTTTATTCTGATAGATTAACGTCTCGACGCAGTTGGGAGACTCATCGAAACAAGACCCGAAAGTCAAACACGACACGACACGACACGACACGACATGACGATGATCGAGTACTGAGCACTCATTGATCAGACCTGCTGCTGGTTCGCGACTCCGCAGAACGCGTCGAGTTGGCAGCTGGCGTTCATCCCCTCCTCGGTGACGCAGAAACGAACGTAGCTACCATAGTCGAAGGGCTTGAACTTGAAGCCGGGAGAGTGGTGGTCGTCCGCCAGCTCCTGTGGGGCGCGGATCACCATGTCGTCCTCCGGGATGGAGAAGAGGATGGCGGAGTACCTCGTCGCCTCCTCGCCCACCATGATGCGGTGTAAGGGCGAGTACACCCGCCCGTTGCTCCACGCCTGGTGTCAATGCATCAGTAACAGCGTAGTAACTAAAATCCATCGACGCAAACAAAATACAATTCATGAGCGTGTATCGTTGCTGCTCTTCCAAGCAACGGGTCATCCTCGTTCTTGGTTGCTTTCGAGTGTGACTGCGCGTGGTAGGTGGGATGAAGGGTTCAGATGACACTGGGAAGATGCGTAGGACCGGAAACACAATATATTGGGTAAACAATGCGACGCTAAGCGGCTTTTGTCATCTTGTGCAGAGCAAAGAAGTAAGAGAAAACGTAGTTACCCGAAAGGCATCACCAGCTATGACGATGAAGGAGGCAGGGGAGGGCGTGACGACGACCCATCCACCGTCACTGGTCTCCATCTCGAGTCCGTCCACTTGGTTCTGGCAAACTATGGCCAGCGTATTCTTGTCCCGGTGAGGAACCAAGCCTAGCTGCTGCCTCTCTTCGCTCGCCTGCTGCTGCTTCGGCGGTGCCGCCGGGTACTCCGACACCCGAAGAAGGAACCGGTGGGACTCCATTAGGGTCTTGTGGTATTTCTCCGCCCCAAGCGTCTCCAGTATCATCTTCCGGACTATCTCGTCCAGCTCCGCCACTTGTTTTGAGAACGAGCACACCATCTCACTGGCGCATCGATCGATCAGTCGATTGATCAATGGGCACCTCAATTTGGTTAGTGTCGACCGTAAACAAGAAGAAAGAAGGGTTTGCAGGCATGCACGTACCTGAAGGCGGGGTTTCCGCCGGGCCACATGAGGCTGGTGAAGCTATCGACGCCCTGTGGAAGCGACGCGTCCAAGATGGCCAGGCTCTCATAGGAGAGGTAGGGGATCTGACCGAGGTAGCCGTGGAAGGGCTTGTTGGAGGTGTTCCTGAGCTTGGTGTCCAACGGAAGGGCGAAGAGCTCCTTCATGGCCGTGCCGAAGAGGGACTCGCGTAGCTCCTGGGTGACTTGCGGGAACACGGCCTCGAAGAAGCCGCAGGAGGCGAGCGCCTCCATCACCTGCTCGCGCACGGCTTCCCATCGAGGCTTTCCAGGGCTGGCAATGTCCAGCCCTGAGAAGTCGATCTTCGGGTACTTTTGCTTGGCGGCTGAGTCTTCCAACGCCATTTCTCCGGTGCTTCTTCTTCTGCGTCTCTCTTCAGCAAGCAAGAATGGGCGTCAAGCGGGTTAAAGAAGCCGGCCGAAGGCGCGTTGGAACTCGAGCTGATTACCCTCGAGTCTCGCTGAGATTGCTGAATGAGATGCGTCGGAACTCGTGATGCACGTGGTTTAATTAAATATCAGTCCCTTTAATTAATTATTTTTAATATTTCGAATTATGTATTATGAATACCTATAAAAACTACCAAATGAAATAGGTAAATTCATTTATCCTAATGATATTAATTTTATTAATAAAAATATAATTTTAATATTTGATGATGAACGATGATGTCGTTGATATCGACATCGACGTAATTACCTGATTGCCTCTGACATCAATAAAATATGCTTTCATCGTGATGCCATTCGTCTCCATGAACATCAACTTCATCGTCGTCAACCCCATGTGTGTTTTACATCTATGATGATGGTTGTTGTCATGTTTATGAAAAAGATGGTAACTAACTAATCGTTGACACATTGACCGAATCTTAACCTTAACTCGAAGCTAAAATCGTCGGAGCTCTTCGACAAGCCAGAATAAGTGTCATGCAAGTTAAAAAAGCCGACAGAAGGCACGCTGGAACTCAAGCTAATTCCTCTCGAGTCTCGATGAGATGGAGGACATAGATACATTGAAACTCCTTATGCATGCCCAAATTTAGCTTTTTTCTTTTTGGAAAAACCAGATCAACTTTCAATTAAATAATTTGGACATCAGCAGAACCCAAAAAAAAATTCAATTAAATAAAAAAAGCCTTATTTATCTGATTGTTAAGGTTATGAGAAATAGAGTTGCACATCTGCCCAGAAATGAACCTAAATCTATTATAAATTATCACTCATGCAACAACCAGTTTCGACGTTGATATTATGAAAGATTCGCTGAGCTGTCTTGTTCGAAGCATCCCAGATTCGCTGAGCTGTCATGTTCAAAGCATCATATTTCAGTGTGGAGATGACTTGAAGTCCGATGAGTGGTCGGTCCTCACAGATGTTGGAGCACAAAAAACAGTCCCTGCATTAGCACCAGTGTTAGTGTAGGAACCATCACAAAAAACAGTAAGAGAGACATTGTAAGAAGTCTGTTCTTGCAATGGAGGGAGCTGGGCTTAGTTTTGGTGATCATTGGACTTGTAAGGTGGAGCATACCATTAACTAAATGGAAAAAAGAAGAAGATGATGAGATTGGCTATTGCTGAACTTGTTAAACTATTGTTTGTTTAACCCATCCTCATTAGATCATTTATGTATATATAAAAAATTGAAAGTTAGTTTTGATTATAGGATATTCCAATAAGTTTTCATAAACATATTTTGATTTTAGGATAAGCATTACATCTTCAAATCATCTTTTAGCCATCTCAATCTTTCCCATGACCAATCTGTTTATCCCTCGAGAACCTATAGATGTTCTTAGATGTCACTAACTCTTACATGTAAAGATGACAAACTCAACTGCTATCATCGAACTCAAAAGCGAGGTGCATGCCTGTTATCTTACCTATTAAGTAGTTACATATTACATATTCTTTGAACTATCATATCATTAACACTATGCATATCATTAGCATAGTTATAATCCAATACTTAAATCTGACTCAACTATCTTACTAAGCCCCTCTATAACATATTGAATTATATATGTGAAGCTCTTTTACAAATCGAGTTGCAAGGATCAAGCACATCATACTTGATATACAGCACTCTAGCCTAAAGGGAATCGGATCCATTCATGATCGAAAGAATTTGTTTTGCATTAACAAGATATCTAACTACACTGATATCCTACACACCCAGACCTCTAGAATCTTTACGGATAGTAGGTATGCTATTAGCACACTTATTATCTTATCAATAAGATGAAGGTGAAAAATAACAATTACTTAAACTCGATCCAACTATCCTCCTAAGCCCCTCTCTAAGACATTGAATTGTACATGTGATACCTTTCAAAATTAGTGAAGCTCAAGTATCAAGGACATCATACTTGGCATGTAACACTCTAGCCCAAAAGAGAATTGGATCCAATCAAGATCAGAAGAATTCATCTTATATCAACATATATCTAACAATATTGATATCCTACATACCAGATCTCTATAATCTTTAGAGATAGTAACCTGATTTTAACTTAGTAGTCTAATCTTTCCATGGGTGGGGAGTCACCCTAGAAGAAATACTTAAATGTGCTTAGAGATTCTATTAGCAAACTTGTTAGTAGTTCATGAAGAGGAATAGAATTGCGAACTGAGTTGATCAGGGTTACCTTGCCAGCTTGTGATAAAAATTTTGTTTTGCCACCCACTGATCTTGTTAAGGGACTTATCAATGATTTGAATATGGATATTGATGGTAATATGATTGTGAGCAAGATAGACTCCTAGGTAAGAAATGAGCTACAAGTTCCTTCAATAAACTCAAGAGCATTATAGACTACCTCAGCCAGGTAATGTTTGGGGAAGAACACTATAGATTTCCCTTTGTTGATGTTTAGACCTGTCAACAGAGTAAAACTTCACGTCCTTAGAGAGGTTCTTGGAAGAACTTAGGGAGACTCTAATAGTGATTAAAATATCATTCAAAAAATAAGATGTAAAATTTTGACCAATAATTTTTGAACCAAAAACTGTTAGGATAAAAAATGACACTAACAGGGGGTGAATTAATGTAGTGGTAAAAATATTGATTTAAAAAACCTTCGTACGATAAAATTTGATTTCGACGAAAATCATTTCGATGCAATCCGTTTTGTGAGAAATTGAATTTGAAAGCTTTCGTAAAAGTGTAAAGAAAAGATTAAGAAGGTTTGCAGTAGGTCAAATCGATCATCTGTTGTGTTGGATTATTCATGAAGAAACC